CTCTCCTTCGTGAGAGAGATATGGGAAAGACAAGAAAATTTCTCGTCCGCTAACACATTTTACGGAGGGGTTCCTCACACTCTTTTTTTCTAACGTAAATGCTCTGGGGACTTCAGCCACCCAGTTTCCAGAAGGGAGGAAGGAGACGTTGGGGTCTTCTTCAGCGCACAGGGAGGACACCGGAGCGCCCTCGGAACACCCCACCATGGCACGAACGCACAAGACAGCGATGATCAAGGTGCAGATGGCGGAAGAGGCACGCAAGGAGGAGGACGCTCGCAGAATGGAGGCAGCCCGGCTCGCCGGTGTAATGGACGCTCGTACCCGCGCGGCGAGATCCCAAGCACGCCAGCATGCTGATGAGATTCGTGGCCAGTTTGGCCCTCACGCTGTAGTCGACGAAGAAGCTAGTGCCAGCGAGGGAATGGATGGTGATTCAGCGGACGCTCTGGCGGAGGTACCAGGGCACGAAGAAGGTACCAAAGAATGTGTTTCTGAAGCGTCAAGAGATTCGAAGGAGGGGCCGGCGGAGAAGGAGGAGGGTGAAGAAAGCCAGGCATCGGACCAAGAAACCCGGGAGGAGAATACTATGCAGACAAACAAAATGCGGCAGACAGGTGCGAACCGGCAAGGCAAAACGAGGTCGGCTTCCATGGTAGAAGACGAAGAGCTGCCCCCCCCCCGTTCAAGGCGGAACACGAATCCTGGGCGGACCTCGAAGTGAGTTTGAAGCAGTACATGGATTCGACGCGCCAGAAGATTGTGATCAAAGTGGTGATCCGAGTTTCGCGCCGTAATGCTGACCTCCGTGCACAAGTACGCTACAATGGTCGCCCTGATTCTGAGATCCCGTTGGTGCCCGTAGAAATGGAACCGTTTCAGCGAAAATATATCTGCACTCATGGCTGGCCGGAGCGTGAGCGATCGTCGGGTAAGAGGACTTCTCACACGCTGCGCCGCACAGAGTGTCCGTTCGAGATGCTGGCCCAGGTTTCGAAGAAGGACGATGGCACATAATGCATCAAGTTGAAGCGTGAGGTGTACTCTCATAACCATTTCGTCTCCGAGGAAGTTTACAGGTATTATCCAGGTATTCGCCAGGTTCTTGCTGAATCACCGCTTATGCCCGGGATTGAGTTGCTTGTGGATGCGCAAGCTGGAACCTCGAGTATTTACGACTACATTCGCAGCAACTCAAATCACTCTGTCACCATGGATGATGTTCGCAACTTGATAGCCAGGATGAAGAAGTCCGGTAAGTTATGCTATGTGTTATTGGGCGGGATATGTCCTGACTAACTAAGAACTGTGTATCTATCTAGGTGTCGATCTTTCTGATGATGACGCTGTTGCAGAGATGATCTTGGACTTTAACCAGGAGTCACCAGCTAATGTGGCCACGGTGAACGAAAGTGCGCACGGCGACACCGGAGTGATATCGTTCTCGAGTGAGCACATGCGTGCGATGCAGGACAGCTTCCTAGAGGTGCTCCAGATGGACTGCACACACAAGACGAACAAGTGAGTTTCTTCATTGTATTTGGTGAGAAATGTTTCAGTTTGTTTTAGGTTTTTACCAGATATTAACAGGGTTTCTGTATAGATACAACTACCAGCTTCTGCGTATCGTTGCAATGGATCAATTTGGTCAAGGTCAGCCCGTCCAGTACTCGTTGATGGAGACAAACTCCGATTGGCACATGGCGAAAAGCTTGGATCATTTTAAACGAGCAAACGAGCATTGGCGTTTCGTGCGTATTGTCATTGTCGATAAGGACATGCAAGAAATCGATGTGATTCAAAAGAAGCTGCCGGACGCTCGTGTTCTTTTGTGTCATTTCCATGTGATAAAGTGGCTCCATAATGTGATTTGCAACTCGAAGAAGTTTGGCACCTATGAAGAATCTGTTCTCACGCAGATAAAGCACATTATCACCAACATGACTTATGCAAGAACAACTGAGGACTACTGTCTACATCGCGACGAGGTCAAGAGTTTGGCTT